CGAAATTTTTAGGTCATGTGGCGTGGTCTTGTGAAAGCTGATCCCTTATTGTGTAATAGTAGCGTAGTTCCTAAGTACTTGCGATTTGTCGGTATGATAGTAAGAAATTTGATTTTTCTTAAATAAAATCTCGAGTTTAAATCTTATGAATAAAAAAATATATGTTGAAAGAGGTTTTCTCTTATGGGGTCTGATATGACTTGATTTTGAATTAGTTAGAACTAATGTAGAGATTAGTGAAAAAAAAAAAAAAGGTGGTTTCTACGTGGTTGGGCTTGGGGATTTCGAGTTGGCCTTACTCTGGCTTGACGTTGTTGAGTTGGACCGTTGAAGTGGACTATAATATACGTCGTAGGCTTAATAAGGCCCCTGGTGATGATCCAAAGTTTAGGCCCATGATCAGTTGGGCTTATCTCTGGCTTGACGTGGTTGTTTAGTTTAGACTAGACTAATAGTAGGGAGAAAAATACAGCTTGTAGACTAAAATGGCAAATGGTAATAAGTTAAGAGAAAAGTTTCAGACTTTTAAATGTAAGAATTTTTTGTGAAATTATTCAGATATTTTTAATAAATAGTTTTTATGTTGATTTATTAAGAGTATTAAATTTTTTTTTATTATTTTTTACATTTTAATTACCAAAATATCTAAAATCTTCTCAATCGTATAAGTCAATGAAGTAGTTAATATATCAAATATTAAATTTAATCAATATTAAATAACAAAAGGCAAACAGAACCAACAATTTTTAGGCTTTGTCCTGCTTTGTCATTGGTAGAGGGCCATCAAATTTATGATTTGGATAAGAGTGGTTTACAACTTTACATTGTGGGGTTCCACACATTTCATATGGATAAGAATTTTAAGGTTTCCTTTTACACAAAAAAAGTAAACTGACCCAGCTCCAAATCTTTTGAGATGTAAATTTAATCCAACTTCGTCTTCTAGACTACATTTCAAAATAAAATTTATCTCATTGGAAAGAGACGTTTCAATTCAGGCAGGTTTGTTCAGAATTTCAAGCCAGTCTTGGGTCTCTGGACATAAGAAAACAAATTGGCTCCTCAACTTTTTTCAATTTTTCTTTCTTACCTCCGAATTGACCGAAAATACATGTTAAATTCAAGAATCTTGTATTGTATTTCGACTACATACAAAAATTATTTAATTTAATATAATTTAAACTGCAAACCGTTCTCTTCTCTTTTTTCAAGAACAGGATGAGAGTCGTGAGGCTCTAATTAGTCTAATTGCATAAAATACAGTAACATTTTAATTAGTCTCTAAATATAAACGACGGAGGAGATTTCATGTACAAATTAACAAAGTACTATAGAAAAGGAAATAATGAAAGAAACCAGAGGGCTCGTAGTCTAAATTGAATCTTCTAATACTTCCCAATTACATTGTAATGACCATCTCTACCAACATTGATCTGTCTCCCACTTCCCACAACTATAACCAGAACGGTGGCCGGCAGCCATAGATGAAGCAACTGCAGCCATTGTAGCCGCCGTGAGAGAAGATCTTCTCCGACCATAAAGATCCCTGTCATAATCAGCACGTTTGTCCGGGTCCGACAAAGTAGAATACGCCGAATGGAGTTGGATGAATTCATTAGCCGAAAATTGCTTCTGAGTTGTTGAAACAACATCCGGATGACAGATTCTCGCCAGCCTCCTATACGCTGCCTTGATTTCGTGGCTGTTGGCACTCGCCGGAATCCCAAGAACCTCGTAGAATGAAACAGAGGAAGCCATTTTGATAACCAAATACTAATTAAATACCAGGAGAATATTACAGCGAAATTTGGGGTGTTTTTGTTTCTTTGGTTGCCTGAAGATTTTGGGAGGGATGTGGGTGGCATTAAATAGAGACGGAAATGATTCTGCGAATGGAGAGCATAAGCTTATCCAATGGTGTTTGTCTTGTGGCTGACTCAGCTCACTGTACATGTGGATAGACTTAGACATTGTAAGATGGATCGCACTGCTACTTGGTACTTGGTACTTGATCCACTCCTATACATATATATTTATTAATTTTTTAATATTTAAAAATTATATTAAATTTTTAATCTAATCATTAGATTTAATAATTAGTTTTTAAATTTTTATATTTTAATTTAATTGATTAAAAGTTTTATTCCCTTAACGAATTAAAAAAAAAAATCTTCCTTCTTAAAAGTTTCTCATATTTTAAAGAAAAAATTTATATTAAATTTTAATTAATATAAAATCAAATTACATTAGATATTATAAAAAAAATTTAACATATGTTATTTATTCATAAAATTTAAACATAATATTTCATTTAATAAAAATTAAATCTTTTTTATTTAAATTACCAGATTATTAGCGATTCTCCTCTATTTGAAATTTTGATTTTACATTTTATTTTATTTTTTTGTTATTGGATTAGATTGGATTGGATTGGATTACTCTAATCGGAATAACACGTTTTCTTGAAGTAAAAGTACTAATTGTTTTATTGATAAGATTATGGTCCTTTACGATTCCCTCTGTTTTGTGTGTTTTTTTGGCAAAAGGGGTTATTAAAACCAAGGTTAAGATGTAACTATCGAATTAAATGGATTCTTAGAATCACAGCCCGTGGTTTTTCAGTTTTCAGGCACACTGAATAACTGATGGTGATTTTGTTGTTAGAACAGATATTTCGAGATTCATGAATTTGATTAGTTTTTAAGTTTAAAAATAGTGTTGGGAAAAGCATATACTTCGTCTTAGAATTGATTCCAGCTCTCACCTCCATAATCATATTTTACCTTTCCATTTTTTATTGATTAGTTGAAATGCCTAGATACACCATGGGATTTACTTTTAGAGTTGCATAAAATAAAATCATGATCTCATAATAATTAAAATCTAAAGAATGATGATAAAAAATAAATTAATATTTTTAATAAATTAATATAAAAAATATCTTTGTAAATATATAAATATATAAATAATTTTATAAAAACTAAAATATTTAAAATGTTAAAATATATGATTTTCACTTTTCTTTCACTTTTATCTCTTTGTTAGTCTAGACTTCAAGAAATGGAATTATTGTCAATAAACAGGAGCAATTCACCTTTTTTTTTTCTTAATATATTTGATGATAAGTTATATAACAAAATTATTATTCGTTTTATATTTTTCACACCCAACTTAAAATGTAAATATAAAATTTTTAATTTCAAAATTCAAATTTAGAAAGTGCAATCTTCCTTGATAACAAAACAAAACAAAACAGTGGAATAGTTTTTGGGTATGTCGGCACGGGCCGCCAGTTTACAAATTACATTATGGACTTATGGTGCTGGACTGCTTCAGCTTGTCTAGGGATTGGGCCTTAGGTTTAAATAGATACGTAGCCCGATGTTGACATAACACCTCTTGGGCCTGAGTGTTGACCCAACATATATAAATTTGATTTTTCTGAAATTCCTGCAGTTTGTTTCGAAGTGTTCAGCGAAACGATGCCGAGCAAGAAGAGGAGAAAAAGGGAGGAGCGACCCACGATCCACCCCAAGAACAAATACTCGGAAAACCCGCCTGATTTCGCCCTCTTGGCCTCTCTCTACCCTTCCTTTGAGCCCTTCGTCTTCTACTCTCGTGACGGCCGACCCAGAATCGACTGGACCGATTTCAACGCCACCCGAGAACTCACCCGGGTCCTCCTCCTTCATGATCACGGACTCAACTGGTATTAATTTCAGCCCTCGTTGCATTGAATTCTGCTTCTTACCTGATTTTTCATGATTTTAATGCATTTCAGTGTAATTCCCTGGAAAACATTTTCTGTTTCTTAGCTGAATGTTTGTCGGTGTTTGACTATTGGATGAATTTTTCTGATTTTGTAGCTCAAGTTCTAATTTTTAATGCAATTACACTTCAGTTAGTTAGAGATTTTGGAAGCAAGATGGTAACTTTGAAGTTGGTACTTTGTGGTCTGGGCAAGAAATTTGCTTTAAATATTAAAGAAGAATTCTAGTTGTTTCTATAGCATTTTCTTTATCCTTATTGTTAGTTTTTTCTGGGTTTGCTTTGGTTTTGTTAAGCACTCTTGAACATACGGTTAGAGCCAAAATTTGAGATTTTTGGCATTTGTCTATTTTATGGTATGCTGTGATAGAACTTGCTTTGTCATATGTTCTGAAATCTCAAGGTTTCTTATGTGGGTTGGGTGCCCTTTAACTCTGTCCCGCTGTTCCAGTGCGACCATAAGAAAACTGGCTTATCTCAATTGAGCTAAATGGTTGGCATTAGACTTTGGAGGTCTTTTACTTTGTTAAGTGACCTAAGTCCCAAGTAATGAAAACTCTAGAATGTTAAGATAACAAAATCAATTTAATCATTACAGTTCATATTAGCTTTACTGTTGAAATTAAGTGGTTTTATTCCTTATAGTTTATCTCTCTTTGTTCTGGATTGTTTACTTCACCCCCTTTTTTTTTCTTTTTTTTTTTAATTAGGTGGAATTTATAACAAAATCATTTTTTCTTCTTCAAGGTTGTTCAGTTAATGTGGTTGGTTGATGGATTTTATTTTTGTAGTTTGTTTAATTTAATTGAGCCTTTCAGGTGGATTCCTGATGGGCAGCTGTGCCCTACTGTGCCAAACAGATCCAACTACATCCATTGGATAGAAGATCTTCTTGCATCCGATATCATTCCCAAACCACATGGCGATAATTATAATGTGAGAGGATTTGATATAGGAACTGGAGCAAATTGCATCTACCCACTTCTTGGTGCATCGCTACTGGGATGGAGTTTTGTTGCATCAGGTAGCATTAATCAATTCATTACAACTTAGTTGTGTTCTATGAATCTGCATTCATGATTTTAATGTCACTAATCTTGATTGCAGATATGACTGATGTAGCACTAGAATGGGCTGAGAGAAATGTTAAAAGTAATCCACATATTTCAAACTTAATAGAGATCAGAAAGGTTAGACATTGTGAAGAATCCCTTCCTATCCAGGAATCAAGTAATGATGAGAACGTTTCTAGCGAAAGCAAAGTAGATGTGAGGGAAGGTGGAAATGAGACAAAGGCTTCACCCTCTTCTTCATTTGATGTTCCTGCAGCTGCAGATAAGAGCTATCATGGACCACCTGTACTTCTTGATGTGGTTCAGGATGGTGAGACATTCGACTTCTGCATGTGTAATCCTCCATTTTTTGAAAACATTGAGGAAGCAGGACTCAACCCAAAAACTTCCTGTGGAGGGACTCCTGGGGAGATGGTTTGTCCAGGTGGAGAAAAGGCATTTATTGCCCGTATTATTGAAGATAGCATTGCATTAAAGCACTCTTTCCGGTACAATTCTTGTTTTTCATCTCTGTTTCTTGCACCTAAAAGTAGTGTTCTTGTGCAGTAGGAAACTTTATATGACTTTGTTTTTAGGTGGTATAGTTCAATGGTTGGTCGCAAAGTTAACCTCAAATTCCTAATATCAAAGCTTCGAGAGGTTGGAGCCACCATTGTAAAAACAACTGAATTTGTTCAAGGCCAAACATGCCGTTGGGGACTTGCTTGGTCTTTTCTGCCACCTGTCAAGAAGATAATATCTTCTCATGTTGCTGAGAGGGGTGTCCTCTCGTTCATGCTTGAGGTCTGTTATTTTTAATTGTCTGTCTTAGCTGTATGCAAATTCTCATATTACATAGCTAATCTAGCTTGCTTGGAGGGATTATATGTTGTGAATTTTGGTATCCTTGAGTTTCTTGATAATTTGAATTCTGTTATCATGCACCAAGAAAATCTTTTATTGGATGCAAAATAAAATCTGACTGGGTGGTGTTTGTTTTCCTGGGTAATGAGACATCTTATGTGAAATTTCCCCTTCTTTGTAGGGTATTCAACGCCACTTTGGAGCAATTGATGTACTGCAATCGGTTGATTCCTTTTTTTGCAATAGTGGTGCATCCTGTAAATTGAATGCCTCTTCATTTACAGTTGATGTGAGTAAAATACTCTTCCATTTACCATTGTGTTTGATATTGTATATAATATTGCTCTGCACTTACATGCAGTACAATCTCATTTTAATAGATCACAGCATCAACAGATCACTGTAATTCAGTCCTGGGGAATCAGATAAAGAATCACAATGAAGTTGCTGGCAGCAGCAGCAGCATGCAGGAGGCATCCTTGAACTTAACTTTTCGCATTTCAGTATGCTTCTCTCTGTCTTTGCCTAGCTTGAATATATGAATTCTATTGTTTAGAATCCATACATGACTGCAGCATTTATCTTACAGGTCTTTCAGCAAATGCCAGGTACACTCCTGGTTAAAGGATCATTACAGCAGAAAGATAGCCCACTCTCAGGTATTCAGTATTCCTTTCACCCACTTTCCTTCTAAACAGTTTGGTCCTCAATTTTCTATTTTTTTATAAAATCTTTGATAATGTTCTGCTACATTGTTGCATCACCAAGTATATTAGACGTTTCATTAAGTCTTCATGCCTTTCTTTGCAGTCTTCCCATCATCCCCATAATTTGGACTGCAGATTACATTGCATTAACAACTTTATAGATGAGCACTGTTTCTGTTTCTTTTGCAGGATTATTCTCCTTAATATTCCGACAATTGGAGGATGTACTGAGATCCAAATTTTGTAGAGAAAAGACCTGAATCAATCCTTCCTAGCTTTATTAAGCAGTTGATTGATGAATGTGAAGCTCATACATAGAAGAACATGCAGATGATTAAAGACAGCACAAAACAATCATCTGCATCGTTTTTCTTTTCCCCTTGATAATACATGGAATGGATATTCATATTTACACTGTTTCCTTCCCCCGTTTGATAAGTTTATCCATGGAAACATTGCCTCGGCACTGATATGGGGATTGAGTAAAGGTTTACCTTTATTCGATTCTCCTTTGTCTTGTAGTAGATTAATCAAAATCATACAGCATGGAAAGAAAATGACTTTATCATTAACAAACGTAACGTAGCTTTCCATATTACATAATTTTTGTTGGCAACCTCTGATTTAGAGACACTTGGACTATTCTTAATTTTTTTTTTTTTTTCCAGTTCATATGAGTGGCGATTATTTTCATGGGGTAGTTGGCTAATCCCATCCAAATACACATGCCCCATTGTGCCAGATTAGGCAGAAAGAAATTAGTTTTGAGTTATGCATAAATTAACTTGGATTACCATGACTGATTAAATAAAAAAAAAAGGGTGAAAATATATATTTTAATAGGAAAAGAAAGCTCATGTGGCATTCACTGAATAGAAAAGGTGTAGTGATATTTAGGACATTAATAAGTGCAAAAACTTAGGATTAATGATATGATTTAAGTTATGTTATTAAATGAGTTAATTTATATAATATTATGAGTTTTAGAGTTATTTATTTTATTAATTTTTAATATATTTAGTTTGACTTTTTTACTTTTCAAATAAAAATTTCAAATAAAAATTTAATAAATTATATGAACAATAATTAAGAAGTTTTTTTTTCATAAATAAAGTTCTTGGTAAGTACTATAATTTGGTCAAAAATAATTTTTAATTATTATTTATATAGTATGTTAAATTTTCATATGAAATTTATGTTGAAAAAGTCAAGTTAGATCTATTAAAAATGAATGAAGAGAATAATTATCAAATAATATCAAATTTACCTATTAATATTTAAAATGACATACTTAATTTATTGAATTTTGGTCTTATACAATTCATCCATTGTATCATTATTTATATGAAAATGCTACTTCTTTTATTATTCTGATAGATATTTTTTAATTTAAAATTTTTCACAGAATAAGAGATTTTTTTATATTTTAAAAAAGACAAATATTATTTTTACTTTAACTTTATAATTGTCTCTCAACTTTAATTATAATTATTTTTTAATTATAATTATCTATTTTTTTATTAAAATAGTTTTTATTTATATTTATTTTTTAAGAATAAAATAAGTTAAACAGAACTTATCTCTAAATTTTTAAATTTAAAAATAAAATAAAATAATTCTTATCATTCTTAAACAAAAAAAGGAATACATATGTACATATGTGTATATATATATATATATATAAACACACATGGTTATGACAAATCCTCGCAAAAATAAATTTAAAAAAAATATAAAACTATTTTACAGACTCTTCCCCCATTTACAACAAATCACAAATTTTTTAACCAAAAAAAAAAAAAATCATTACAAAAATCAAAAAAGAGAAAAAGTAAGAAAATTCATTAAGCCTTTCCCTCAATCCTTGCATGTGTAAATCCGACACATGCATCAACAAATTCTTCATCAATAAAATCCGTCGAGAAGATCTGTAGCCGGTCGGCGATTCCCCTTGCGACGCACTGAGTTATGAACAGCTTCGCATAGCCATGAATCCTCCCCGTCACCGGCTTAACACAGAGCACCGGATTATCTGCCTGCGGCGTAACCGTGTTCTCCACTCTGTAAAACAATTTCCTGGACGTCACCGGCTGTTGCTCCCCTAGATGCTTCAGATTGTTCTCGAACTTGGTCGACGGTAAATCCGTGTCTATCCAATTATCCTTCAAATGCCCTGAATTCCACAACGACCCCCCTGCTTTCGGCTGTGGAGATTTTCTCGGTTTCCAAACGCAGATGATTCTCTTCGGCAAAATTTCCGAGATTCTTTTCTCAAAAACGTGATCGTCCTGATGAATCAAGAATTCCCCGAGCTGCTCCTCTAAGTATTTCTCAAAATCCGGCGGGTCCTGGTGGCCGAACTCTGTTCGGATCTCCAGAATTATTATCTCCGACTCTGTTTCCGACAAGAACTTCTTTATATCCTTGATTACGACGTCAACGCTGTACGTCACCAGACATCCATGGCAAACCCGGCGATCCTCCTGAACCCGGATGTCCAGAACTCGGGTGCCTCTGATTAGCTGGCGGTAGATCGAAAGGGATTGGCATTGAGCGAAAGGGCGGGAGATACAGGGTATTCCGATCTTGTTGGTGGCAGAGTCGTGTGTTCCGGGCCACACGATCTGGTTTATCCGAAGCTTCTCGGGGTTGAGACCCGCCATCCAAGTTTTCCTGTCTGGTGGACGGTAGTCGCATCCAGGAAATGATTCGCCGGAGCTTTCCTGAAGATTGCAGAGAGTCTTCTTCTCCGATGAGACTGCCTTTCGCTTCTGCACCTGTATAGAGACCTTAGAACCCATTTTTCAATGAACTGTATCAGTTCCAGTAGCTATTGTAAATGGAATAGATTAGGTTATATATAAATCATGAAAGCGTTGGAAGAATGGATTTAATTATGAAATAAGGTTAGAATTAAAATTCTAGGGTTTGTATAAAGACTGGCTGTTACTCTCCTTTTATTTTCCTAAGATTGAATGTTACTTCTTTTTTTTTTTTTTCTAAATCTCTTCCATATGACGCAAAAATTGAATTTTGAGATTTTTAATTGAAAGTTCTAAATTTTTAATCAGTTAAGCCACGTCCTCTTAAAGATGAAGGTTATTTTGTTTTTTTTTTTTTTTTTGATAATTTTAATTTTAAAGTCAGATAATTATTACCAATAAAAATGATTAACACACCTTGCAAATAAAACCATTGTTATTAGAGTGCTAATGTAGTATCAGCCTTATTCGATAGATCTTATCTCATGTTTTCTACTGATTTCTTGGTAATATTGTTATTTGCTTTTGGTTTTGTTTGGGTTTGGTGGTTGGTGAAAGAAAATGATGAATTGTCATTTAGTTGGGTGGGGTCGGGTTGATGGCATTATTGGTGGGGTGCAGGACCAATTGTGTGGTTGTAACCTGTCCAAGATTGTCCAAGTTGATTGGTTTAGATATTTTTAATCCCTAATTATTATGATTTACAATTTGGTTGTGATGTTGGTTTCCCACTAAGTGGGGCTAAACAGCTGGCAAACGCGGAATTGCCAATAGATATTTGGAGCTTCCAAACGGGGCCTATCCCATTCCCATCTTTCCGAGTCCATAGTTTTGGTGGCGTAAGCAAGGTACTCTACTTTAAACTAAAGAAAATCCCTATAAAGAAGGCCAACAGCTTTGGTTCTGCTTAATCAAATGACTTTCTTTTTAGAAATAATATGTATTGGTAGGCGCCAATTATTGAAGTGTTCAATTATGATCTTTATTAAATGAAAGTAAAAGACTTTAGACTCTTTGTATATTATCCAAGGTAAGATAGATTAAAGAATGAAAGAAAATTATTATTCTCAAATGATGTTTTGAGTGGTGAAGAAATTAAAATTTTAAATTAGAGATTTTAAATTTGAATTTTATGATAAGTAAAAAAGGATTAAAAGAAGAGAAAGATTATCTTTTATTGTGTAGTCAATGATTTTATGTATAAAAAAATAATGATAAAAAAGAATTATTTACAAAAATATACAAACCAAGATAAATAATAATAATAATGATAGAATTGTATTGATAGGTTATGGATGCAATAGGAGCTAGCTCTTACTCCTCTTGGATCCTTTACTGGCAAGTTGCCAAGTTTGATGAGAATGCAGCGGGACCAACAAGTGATAAGGAGCGAATGCAAAACTCAGTATCATTATAAAACTTGTGATAATAGTGGAGAAATCATGGAAGAGTAAAATTCAAATGTTAGAATAGGACATCGTCCTCAATTAGTTTTGACTTCATTCAATTAATTATAGTGATGATGACATGTCATCTTGTAAGAAATATCTCCTTCCTGTCCAATGATAATCAGACATCGAGCATCAAATCAAGATCAGGGCTCAAACAAAGTAACAGAGAAAAGAGGTAAGCAAACTTGCAAAAGAGATTGACTTAACTCCAAGGAAATGAAATGGAGCCATGGAGGGTCACTGGAGCAACCGTGATTGATGTTAGTAGCTATGTTGATCATGTACACTCAATCTCACTACACCATCTTCAGCAGAATATGAATGTTAAGGGCCCTACCATGTGCAGCACAGGGATGATAATGGACTAAGCTTTGATGGATAAAACGTCACAATCATACTCTCAATCAGAATTTGGAGAGAGCAAAAAAGGGTCAAAAAAGATGGGACTATATATTATATACAGTCACGGCTGCATTGGCTTGGTGGGAAATGAGGGTGAAAAGAAGATGGAAGTTTAAGCCCATGAGTTCAACTGGCTTTAGCTTACGCTTAGCCCAAATCATTGAATTGCATTAGGTTTGATTCTAGCCCAGCCCATTGAAGCACATGTAGTCGTGTCCATAGTGGTTTATGAGTGAAGACAAAGTAACTGCAGCTCGTGTGTATGTGCAATCCAGATAAGGAGTCAGAATCTCTATATCCACAAACAACAGCATTTCATAACATAATAAATTGCTCAAGACGTTGAGAAAGAACCAAATACTGACCATGATCACATATCATTCAATGATTTTATTGAATTGGATAAAACAATGGCATAAAATGAAACAAAAAATAATCTTCCATCCACTCAACTATCTAGATTTTTGGAACCAAATGTTACAAGTATCGCAAAACTATTATGGAAGATTCAACTCTATAGTATCTGAGAACAAGAATGAGTAACCTTTATACTACAGTTGCCTCCAATTTGAAAAGGATGTAGAAAACTGTTAGGATCATAAAAGCTACAAGAGATATATGAGTCTTGCAGTTCTACTACACAACAAGCAAGCTAAGATGAAAAATGGCAAACTGCTACCTCTCAACCTCAAGCAAGGAAGCATCTTCTTCCCTTTGGCCGGCTAACTGATCCAAGATTGAGTATAATGCTTTTTTCAAAGGATGGGATGTATCTGATGCACTGAAGGAATGCACTTTATTTTCAGTTTCTATCCAACTTGTGGCTAACTCTTTAGTAATATGTCTCTTATTCATAAGCTGTCTGACCTTTTCTACTAAATCCCACCTCCCAAAATCAGCATATATACCTGAAAGTAATACATAAGGTGCAGAAGATTGAGGTTCCAACTCAATGAGTTGCTCTGCTGCTTTTCTTCCTAATTCCAGATTTTTGTGGATTCTAGACACACCAAGTAATGCATTCCAGACCTGAGCATCAGGCTTACATGGCATCTTTTCTAGCTGGTCCATCAACTGGTCAAAACAACCAGCTCGACCTAAGAGATCAATTAAGCAAGCATAATGTTCTTGATTGGGAATGATTCCATGATCAGAAGTCATGGATGCAAAAAACCTAAGTCCTTCCTGCACAAGACCTGAATGGCTACAAGCATTGAGAATAACAACCAAGGTGACCCTATCTGGTTTTACCCCTAATCTTATCATGTCATAAAACATTTGTATTGCCTCTTCCCCATGCCCATGCTGTCCCAAAGCAGAAATCATTGTGTTCCACACCACACAATCTTGCTTATCACCCATAAGAGTGAAAACCAGCTTGCCAACTTCCAGACAGCCACATTTCGAATACATGTCAATGAGGGAACTAACAACTATCATGTTTGGCCTAAAATTAGCTCGTATCAAATAAGCATGTATTTGTTTACCATGCTTAACTGACGCTATACTAGCAGAAGCACAAAGGCAACTGCTAAAGGTGAACTGATCAGGTGTAATTTGAAGTGCCATCATCTGCGCAAATAACTTGAGTGCTTGATCACTCATGCCATTTCTAGCATAGCCAGAAATCAAAGCCGTCCAAGAAGTTGGATTTTTCATGGGCATCTCATCAAAAAATTCACTAGCTGACTGCATATCCCCCAATAATGCATACCCTGAAACCATGGTGGTCCAAGATAAAATATCTTTTATAGGGATCTCATAAAAAAGTCTACGAGCATCATCCATTGCCCCACACTTCGCATAAGCATCAAGAAGTGAGCTCGTAAGCACAATATTAGAAAGAAACCCATAATGCAAAAGCTGCCCATGAACCTGCCTGGTGAACGAAAATTCCTTCAACTTCACACAAACTGTCAAGACACCAGCAAAACTGAATTCATTGTATCCAATAGACGCCCTCCTGAACTCCTTATAAAACCTGATAGCTTCCTTACAATTCCCGCTCTTTGCATACCCAATCACCAAGGTGTTCCACGACACAACATCTTTCTCAGGCATTTCATCGAACAACTTCCTGGCAGGCCTTAACATCCCCATTTTAGCATACCCAGATAGCATATTGTTCCAAGAATACAAATTTCTGGAAGACATTTTATTAAACACTTGACGTGCCTTAATAAAATCGCCACAACTAGAGTACATATAGATCAAATGATTCGCTAAAAGCGTACAAGGCCTTTTCTGGCCAGTAAGCTTCAAATAGAGGTGCACCCATTTGCCCTCTTTAAGAGACCTTGTGTTTCCACACTCTTGCAAAAGATAGGCTAGCGTTCTAGAGGGCAAGCGAATGCCTTTATTTCGTAAGAGATCAAGAGAAGAGACTGCTTCTGAAAGTTTTCCTTTAGAGGAGAGATCGAGGAAAGATTTGACGAGGCAAGGAGGGTTTCTAGCTTTGGGATTCAGGCAAAATGGGGGGAAGCGAGAGGGCATTGCGGGGAGAAACCATGTAAGATGGTAAAGAAAAAAGCGTTCACTTCCCCCTCCATGTCATCTTGCTCCGGCCAGCATTTCCGGTTCTGGTGACGGTGCTGTCCCTGGTGGCGCTGGTGTTCCTGTGGGTTGACGGATGGGCAAATTCGCGTTTGGACTCTGTCTGCCGGCCCACATGACATGTTAACCAACAAGAACTTCACCCCTTAATAACCACTAATTTTAAATTTTAAACAGTTAATTAAATGCTTAAATTTTTGTAATACTAAAAGGAAAAATAAAAATTAATAAATTATAGTATTTAAAATATTTAAATTTTTTTATAAAATTATTTAAATATTTTTAATAAATTATTTAAAATATTACATTATTAAAAATATTTAAATAATTTTATAAAAACAAATCTTTGTACTTTAATTATTAAGGCGTCTTGATTTTTGATAATCAAAATTAATGTTGATTTTTTTAAAATGTTGATTCATTAAGAGCTTTTTATTTTAGAAAATTGAAAATTGCCAATGAAATGTGGGGTGTGGTTATTGTCCCATTAGGAACCTTATGAGCACACAAATATATCTTATGTTTTCTTTAACAGCTAATTATGGTATTTGGATATTTTAGGTTATCAACTAATTTAATTAATCTCATTTTAAAAATCAAAAATATCTTAATTTTTAAAATAGGAATCAGTCTGTTTTAATTTTTTTAGTAGTATTTTATTAAAACGATATAATTTTAATTGTTTTATGCTTAATTTTGTAGAGGTTTTGCTGATAAACATTAATTTCAATTAATAAATATTAGTTATTCTTTTAATTACTAGTTAATAATTATAATTATCAATTTTTTTAGGTTAAACCCTCTACTTGTACCTTAGGTAATTTTTTTTTTTTCATGATCAACGCTTTTATAATTTGAAACTAGTAAAAAACCTTAAATTACCGACCAATAGGAGTTTTAGCTACTAACTTTCGGGTTTTTGCAGATTTTAAGTTATAGAAGGTATTGAATAAAAGTGAAAATTTTAGAGAATGTTAATCACAAAAAATAATAATGTTTAAGGTATAAATAGAAAATTTAACTTTATTTTTAACAATTAAATCAAATAGAGAATTAAGAGTTTTAAAGATAAATATAAAAAATGTGTATAGCTCCAACACTGTTGTGTGAAGCAATAATCACACCCAACAATGAAAGGGTAAGTCGGTGAACAATGACTGCTTTATATATATATATATATTTACTGTTGCAATATTCTAAAATTAGTAAGGTTTAAAATCTAAATTTAACTTATAAATAATACATATTTATTAATATTAATAGAGCTAACATTTTAAAGTTTTTGGAAATGCATGTTTTCTTGTTTTATGATGTTAGTTTTATACAATTCATAATTAGTTTAGAAAATTGTTAAATTATTATTTAGCCCAATCAAGTAAAATACAAATAATTTATGTCTAAAGTAAAAAAAAAGTCACAAAAAATTACATCCTCATGATTTTTTTGATAAACCAAAACATTAGTGTTTTAAACAATTTCTTCCTAATTTTATATAAAGCTTTTTGAAAACTCAATTATGCTTGATCAATGTATGTAATCAATTTTCTATTGTGCAATAGTGTGATGTTTCAATTTGTTAGCCACCTAGAATGTAATCTAATTAACTAAATATAAAAACACACACACACAAAGCATGCATGAAAATTAATACTAGTAATATAGTTAAGTGATTTATTGATGAGTCCGGTTTTGGTTTTAATTTGTAAGTAAGAAACCATGGCATTGAAGTGCCAATTGAACTTAGAAACATCATGAGTTCCATGCTTCCCATGTGAGGATACTGTGATTCTGCTACTTGCAAAGTATACTTTCACTTTAGAGGCAAACATCATGAGTTACATGTGCTCTTCTAATAAGATCTTGAAAGGAGTCTCGGAAATGGTAAATGATATTTTTCATGATTTTAATACTAATTTTATTCATTTTAATTTTTTATGATATTTTTCAAACTCTGAATATGAAACTTTTAATTTCTAAAAAGAAAATTTTTATTATTTGATTGTATAGCCCTGGTGACGTGGTGGCCACCCTTCTTTAAGCATTTGTTTGGGTAAAAATTAGTAAAGAAAAGGAAAGGAAGAGGAAGGGAAGAAAGAGAAGGAGAAGTGAAGAGTAGGAAATAATTAATCTTAATTTTGTTTGAATGGATAAAAATAAAGAAAATAAAAGATTAATATTTTTATTTAATTAAATAAAAATTTTAAAATAAAATAAAATAGAATAAAAGTTTTAATATTTATGAATTAAAAAATGGATATAAAATACTTTTATATATTTATTTTTAAAAAATAAATGTATAAACCTAATCCTTTCAAATCCCTTAAATTTGGAGGGATTAAAAATAGAAAAGAGGAAGGAATTACATCTCCTTTCATTTTCCTTCCTTTTCATTAAAATTAATAATTCAAATATAACAAAGAGATGTTTCTCTCTTTAACTCCTTTTTTTTTTTTTTTTAACTTTCTCAATCCAAACTAAAAATAAATAAAGATATTAGGACATTAAAAATTTAGGATTTAAATACAAGCCTTACATCCCCACTCAAAATTTGTAGACATTGATTCATACATACATGCTGCGTATTCATTTAGGTAGTCACCTAAATGAATTGAATGCACTTGGACTCCTAGATAAATTGATAAAAGTTACCTTTCTCCAAACATACGTGCTGGGTTAATTTCTCCCAGCCTAACATTTGTGTTTCTTCAAAAAAATTGTAACAACTTTTCCAGCAACAAATAATTTTATTGAGATAACTTCAAGTTTTGGATTTATTGATAATTTTGTGCTTTCTTATATGTTAAATTTTATTTAGGATTCAAGTTTTGAGAGAATGGTAAAGAAAATTAATTTTTAAATACATTAAATGAATATAAAAGTGTACTCTTAATATTATTTGGAAAAAAATTAATTTTAAAATATATAAAAATTAATTCAAAACATCCTTTCCATTTTTTTAGAAGAATTTGTTCGAAAATTTACTTTTTATTAATATTTTAAAAGATTAATTATTAAATTAAAATTTTTTTTTCATGTAGATTATGCTTAATAATTTTCATATCAATATAATATTTATAATATTTTGATTGAATAAATTTTATTTATTACTATATATTTAACAATACTAAATTTTATATAGTTAATAAATTAATTAAACTTAATAACCACTCTAAAAATTGACATGAAATTTAAAAATAAAATTTTTAATCTAATCATTATCTTTAAAAATATTAATTAAAGAAAAAAAATTTAGACATTAAAAAAAAGAAAAAGAAAAAGAAAAAGAGGAACTACAAAAACACCTTATTTTTTATTTTTTATTTTTACCTTCTATCTAAAAGATGATTAAATAGTTGCCGAGAAGAAGAAGACAATCACAAGCCTCCATGTATCAGATCATCAATGATGTCCCACAATCAGCAATCAATCACAAAATTCAATGTCCCACATCTGCCAATGCCAAGTTTTGTGGCCAAAAAATAGCGGCCCCAACCCCTAAGCTTAGATCACGTGATACACCTCCCACGAGATTTGTGCACCCTCTCTCTCCTTTGGAAAACCAATGTGAAGCGATCGAAGTTACCTTAAAAGTTCAATTAACTTTTAATTTTTTATTAAAGTGAGAATTTTCAATTTACGTCATAAAAATATAATTAATATATTTTTTTATAACATTTTAGAAATATTTATTGTATTTTTAATTTATATTTTAAAGATATAAATTATACAAGTCTTTAAAATAAATAAGTTTTAAATTTGATAATTTAGATAATTATGTGGCAATTCAAAAAAAAAATACATTAATTATGTGAATAAAATATTAATATATCATTATTTATGTAGTGATTATTGATTTTATTCACATCCATAAAGTACAAATGAATATTAAGTTTATTATAATAAAAGGAATTAAATTATTCAAATCAATAAGTTTAGAGATTTATTTATTTTAATAAAAATTTAAAGACCTCATTAGGAATTTAGAATAAGTTCAGGGACTTAACGTATGGTTTTGCCCTCTCTCTGCCATCATGATTCGGCGTCTTCCCTCCTCCGATGGTACTAATGAACTAATGCCCACCGTTGGATCACAGTCCCAAATCCATCTCCTCCATCCATCTCTAACCCATCCGCCGGCACGCCAGAAACCGAAACATCAAAGAGTAGGTATATTTGTGACCCATTTTGCACATGTTACAAAATCTTCTCTTTTTCTACTCCTCTTCAGGCTGTAGCATCCAAAACCAAAGCCCAGGTAAGGTTTCTCTTAATTATTGCATTTGATCTTAATTTGGAGAAAATTCTGAAAAAGAAAAAAATAGGGTCGTGGTGGGATCGTGTTGGTTTTAATGGGTATTGTTTTAATTGTAACGGAATGGAAGGATCTGTTGGGTATTTGATATTTGAATCATGGGTGGATTTTTGGGTTTGGTTGGGTGTATGGGGTATGGGTTTTGATTTTGTGATTCTATGTTGGTTATTGTTCTGTTGGTTAAATGGGTTTTTTGTTTTTTTTGTTGTCTGTTTAGGGTTTTGCAGCAACATTTTTGGAAATGGAAGGTTCTGTTGGGATGGTTGATGGGTCAATTGCGGGAGGGAAGATGCCTGGTGAAGAAATGGTAATTGTGGGGGAAAAGAAGCCAGTAGAGGACATTGTGATTCTGTTGGGTCCTGATGGACCGATAGAAATGGAAGATGAGGTTTTTGAAGAGGCGATTGATGCACAAGAGCTTTTGCAGGCACAGGGAACAAAGCCTGAATTGGGTGATGACAGTTTTATTGGTGATGGAAATGGGGATGGGGAGACACCAGGTGTTTTGCGTTCAGGGGAAGTTCTGGATAATACTAATGCGGAACTTGAGGATGATACATTTGAAGAGGCTATTGGGGTTCCTACTGCTGTTGGGAGTGAGAAGGAATTGCCACTGCTGGTGGATGAGCAGAAGTCTGAAGATTTGATGGCTGGAGAGAGTCTTGATGGGGTTGTTGTGCCGGATAAGATTGATGAAGGAGGGACTGGAGACAGAACAGGGACAGCTGAAGCCAATGCTGTTGAAGGTACTAAACTTTCAAGGAATGTGGATGAAGGTGATGTGAAGTCCAAGGCAGTGATTGATGAACCTGAAATTGGAGATTCTGAAAAGGCAGATTTGGATGACACTTTGGTTGATGGAAAATTAGAAGCAGGAGATTTGGATAAACTTAAGGAAGGCTTTCTTGGTTTTGATCAAGCAGTTGAATTCAACTTGCAGGCTATGCCTGAAGATGAAAGGAGTGAGAAAGAACAAGATGGTTCATTGGTTTCTGAAAATAAAGATGATGGCACTGGTGAATCTGTTGATGCCTCAGCTGGCATCCTTAGCAAGCCTGAAGATGATAAAAATGAACCGCTGGTTCACAGGCCCACTATTCAAGAGAGTGAGGAATTGAAAGACACTTCAGATGAAATTGATTCAATTCATGGTCTTGACAAGGGTGAACAAGCGCAAAAAAGTTTAGTTGTCTTGAATTCTGAAGATCATGATAACATGAATAGGGAAGTGAAAGAACCTCCTGCCTCATCAGATTTAAAGCATAATGGTGAATCTGATAAACCACAAGACACTTCAGCTGATTTGTTTACATCTGTGAAAGAGTTATTGGTGCCAGAGACCGGAAAGTTGTCCCTACAGAAGTCTAAGGTTGAGATGAATGGAGATACTGAAGCAGCCAAACCTGAAATGGAAGTAGATCTTGACTTCAGTTCTCAACCAGATGACAAAAGGAAATTAGTGAATATGGTTCAAGACAGCAATGGTGTGGCTGAAGATTCTGAAAGAAAAGCAGAGAAGGGTCACGAAGTAGAGCTTGATGAAAGTTCTCAGCCTCAACAGGCTGACAAAAAGGAATTTGTGAATAAGGTTCAAGACAGCAATGGTGTAGCCAAAGATTCTGAAAGAAAAGAAGAAAAGGATCAGGAAGCAAAGAACAACACCAATTTGGATAGAGAATATGTAATTCAGCCTCCCTCCTCATCATCTGCAAAGAGTGAAGAGTCTGAAAAGAAGGTAGATAAAGGACCAGAAGAGAAGCAAATGGGTAACCTTAATCAAGAACGTGAGATTCCATTTGGCCCACTACCTTCTTCATCTGCAAATTCTACAAGTCCTGCCATGCCAGCTCGCCCTGCCGGCCTTGGGCGTGCTGCTTCACTGTTTGAACCTGCTTCTCGGGTGGTTCAGCCACCTCGTGTTAATGGAACTGTATCACATGTTCAAACCCAGCAAATTGAAGAGCCGGCTAATGGAGAGGCTGAGGAGAATGATGAGACTCGGGAAAAACTTCAGATGATTAGGGTAAAATTTTTGCGCCTTGCCCATAGGCTTGGCCAGACTCCCCATAATGTTGTTGTGGCTCAGGTTCTGTACAGACTAGGCCTGGCTGAGCAGCTTCAAGGAAGAAATGGTGGCCGTGTTGGTGCCTTTAGCTTTGACCGTGCAAGTGCTATGGCAGAGCAGCTTGAGGCAGCAGGGAATGAACCTCTTGATTTTTCTTGTACAATTATGGTTCTTGGGAAGACAGGGGTTGGTAAAAGTGCAACAATTAATTCGATATTTGATGAGGTTAAGTTCAGTACTGATGCTTTTCAGACGGGTACAAAGAAGGTTCAGGATGTCGTGGGTACTGTTCACGGAATTAAGGTGCGGGTAATTGACACACCAGGGCTTTTGCCATCCTGGTCTGACAAGTGTCAGAATGAAAAGATCCTTCACTCTGTTAAGCGTTTCATCAAGAAAACACCTCCAGACATTGTGTTGTATCTTGATAGGTTGGACATGCAAAGCAGGGATTTTGGTGATATGCCCCTTCTCCGCACCATCAGTGAGATATTTGGACCATCTATATGGTTTAATGCAATTGTGGTTCTAACTCATGCGGCTTCTGCTCCACCTGAGGGTCCAAATGGTACTGCTCCTAGTTATGATATGTTTGTCACTCAACGTTCACATGTTGTCCAACAGGCCATTCGTCAGGCAGCTGGGGATATGCGGCTCATGAATCCTGTGTCATTAGTGGAAAACCATTCTGCGTGCAGAACAAATAGGGCTGGGCAGAGAGTTTTGCCAAATGGCCAAGTTTGGAAGCCTCATTTATTATTGCTGTCTTTTGCTTCAAAAATTCTGGCTGAAGCAAATGCGCTTCTGAAGTTGCAAGATACTCCACCAGGAAAGCCTTTTGCAACTCGGTCCAGAGCACCTCCACTTCCTTTCCTTCTTTCATCTCTTCTCCAATCAAGACCACAAGTGAAGCTGCCTGAAGAGCAATTTGGTGACGATGATGGTCTGGATGAAGATTTAGATGAATCATCAGACTCTGATGATGATGTAGAATATGATGAATTGCCCCCATTTAAACGGTTAACAAAAGATCAGATAGCTATGCTTAGTAAAGGTCAGAGAAATGCATATTTTGATGAATTGGAGTATAGAGAAAAGCTTTTTATGAAGAAGCAATTGAAGGAAGAGAGAAGGCGAAGGAAGATGATGAAGAAAATGGCAGCTGCAGCTAAGGATCTGCCTAGGGATTATGGAGAAAATGCAGAAGAAAGTGGAGGTGCTGCTTCTGTGCCAGTACCCGTGCCTGATTTAGCACTGCCTGCTTCTTTTGATTCTGATAATCCTACTCACCGGTATCGTTACCTTGATTCCTCCAATCAGTGGCTTGTGAGGCCCGTTCTCGAAACTCATGGTTGGGATCACGATGTTGGTTATGAAGGTATAAATGTAGAAAGATTGTTTGTGGTTAAAGACAAAGTTCCCATCTCATTTTCTGGCCAGGTTACAAAGGACAAGAAGGATGCCAATGTCCAAATGGAACTAGCCAGTTCTTTAATGCATGGAGAAGGAAAAGCTACTTCTCTAGGTTTTGATATGCAGACTGTTGGTAAGGACTTGGCCTATACTTTACGCAGTGAGACTAGATTTAGTAATTTCAGGAAGAACAAGGCAACAGCCGGTCTCTCAGTTACACTCTTAGGTGATGCTTTATCAGCTGGATTGAAAGTTGAGGACAAGTTCATTCCTAACAAACGGTTGCAGGTGGTTATGACTGGGGGTGCAATGACCAGTTGGGGTGACGTTGCGTATGGTGGTAGTTTGGAAGCCCAGTTGAGAGATAAGGATCATCCACTGGGTCGCTCGCTGTCTACTCTTGGGCTTTCTGTCATGGATTGGCATGGAGATCTTGCCCTTGGGTGCAATATACAATCCCAGATCCCTGTTGGACGGTCCACAAATTTAATTGCACGTGCCAATTTGAATAACCGGGGTGCAGGACAAGTCAGTGTCCGGTTAAATAGCTCAGAACAGCTTCAAATAGTTTTGGTTGCTGTCATTCCTTTATTGAAAAAGCTACTTGGTTATCATCAGACGCAGTTTGGACAATGATGAAAATTAGATTGTGTGCTGTAGCAGCCATGCGGTGATAGGTTAAAGATTTCAAATGGCCATTCCATGGTGGTCATTAGCTGAGTAAAAGAAAGTAAGCTGCTAAACTTCTGTATCTTTGGTGTCTTTCTTTATTCTTTCCCCTTCAATGATATTTTCATGGATAATAGTAGTAATTTAGGTTTCTTAGTTGGATATTTGCATATATATGGTGGTTTTTTGTGCTCATTAAACTGCAGCCAAGCATTGCTTCATTTCAACCTTGCCTCTGTTTATGTTATATTTCCCATGTTGCGTCAAAACTAATTCATTGAAAGCAGAGTAGTAATGGTGCACCATGTCTATTGTGCACCTTTATTATTTCCAAGATTTAAGGTGGTCTCTGATAGTTTCTTTTGTTTTCCGTGTAGGAGAACTAATATCCATGCTGCACTGAGGTTACTAGTTTGGACTTCCAGGCTATTTTTCTTTGGTTTCAATTGACCTTTTCTTGAAAATGTTGTTACCAGTTTTGGTGGAAATGTGGAATGTATCTGACTATTATAAATCAATTGCGTCACTTCCTTACTCTTTTAAGAGCGTTGATGTCTTAACTTAGTAAAGGTTGGTGGTTTGTTTGTTAAGAGAATTATAGGAGCAGGTTACAGGAAGAAATCTAGAAATCTGTAGTGTTTGTCATTTTATAGCAATAATCATAAGAGGCCATTGGGTATCATTCCATGCTTGATGCTACAAAATGGAAAGGCTGTTATTATTATTTGTCTGAAATCATGAAATCTGTGGCTAGCAGAATATATTTTGTCTATCAAAAAAGCAGTGTAGTTCGGAAAATATTGGACTGTACAAAGTAAGCCATTGAATGAGGGGGTAAGTCCCCTTGTATTAGTGATTATCCTTTGCAATTTATTGCAGTCCAAATGGAAAAATGGAGAATTCTTTGTAGGTTACCCTTTTATGATAATCGCTTTGGTTAGGAGTCCTTGGCAGAATGTGTGTTGAATCGAAGCAAGCACAAGGTTGGGTGGAAATGATGGCTATGTTAGCTGGGGTTCCACTCTGTAATTCTCCTGTTCTATATTGCCATCTTTCTGTTCCATTAACACCCAATCATGGGAATTTGAAAACACATTATAAAACCGTGAAATATCATGTCTAAACTTATTGAATCCGTAAGCACATAAAAGAAAAAGAGAGAAACCATAGAATGTAAACAATGTGTTGTTGAAGGACGGCACTACATAAACCACAAACCATTAAATGAGGGCATACCCCTAAAGGTGGGGAAGTCTCGTCTACTAATTCTGAATTGGCAATCCGGACCATAAAATTGCCAACTCAAATATTAATTGGCCTAGTGAACAACTGTAACATTGTACCCAACTATGGCGTCACCAGTGGTAAAATCCATCCAATGAGTGTGTGCCAATGCATATCCCTGCGCCAACCGGAAGAGACCGGTACCTCCGACAATCGGCAACTCTCTAACCGCATTCAGTGCCTGATTCTTGCCGAGGATGCTAATGGAGCTGCCATTGTACATACCATCAGTGAAGCTGAAGCTCATTGCCATGAGCAGGCCTAGTTCTTCCTGGCAGGCTGAGGCGTAGATTCCTTGGGCTCGCCCCAGAAGCTTTGAGTTTGGGTCAGGCCCCTCCGTCAATGGATCATCCGCCATCATGACAGCCCCGAAGAGAGTAGCAGATTTGTTAGTGCCAGCAGCCTGAGCCACCCTGACGGCACTTGGGTTCTTGCCACTGAGCGTGTCGTGGAAATAGAATTGAAGGTTGGTTACGGTCTCCTTCTTAGCTTTAAGCCTGGTGGCCCAACTCTCCACATGGAGGCCTTGGGCTTGTGGCACGGCGGCAGCAACCACGACGGTGAGGAGCAAAAAAATGCCACCTAGTTTTGCCATCTTCTCAACCTTGCTCTATGTTTCTGCTCTCTTGTATACAAAAATTAAAGGGAAAAAGAGAGTTGATTTTGTAGGGACTATGTCATTTACGATTTCTTTTATAAGAGAAAATTTCAAAAGATAGTTTAACTACATATGAAGAAAATGCATTTAGCCACGTTCTATGGGTCCACATGCTGTCTAGGGGATCTTGTAGATTATACTATTGTCATTATATGGTTAACAACATTAGGGTTTGAAATTGAGATTTCTAAATTGTATTTTTTTTTATGTATGTCATATAATAAAATATGACATTTTTTTTACTATTTTTATTTTCTGCACATATCTTAAAGTTCGAACATGATATATTTAATTTAAAATATTTAAGTTTTACAATAACTAAGATTGAGACATTTTTAAATAGTATGTTTGATTTGAAATAAAAAGAGAAAAAAGAAAAGAAGAAAAAGATTTTTTACTAATCAAATTATAACATTTAAAAAGATTATAATTTAATTATAAAAAAAACTCTCTTTTTTCCATTTTTTAAAACCAAATATATTATAAAGGACAAAAACCTATATTTATTTTAACAAACAATAAGTATAACATGCGGTCTTTATTCAGTTAAATTTGATTATTGGATATACAATAATATACCACTTTCTTTCTGAAATCTTTCTTTTATTTGTTTTAAGGATTTGATTTTGACATATACATATTATATAATCCGAGAACCATCTTTTTATAATGTGTAAATGTAAAATATACATTTTAAGAAAAGGTTGTAAATGCCAATTTGATTGTTTAGGTGGAAAGAGTCGATGAGAGGTGGCATTTGTCTGAATAAGTTGGTGGAAGAAATGAGGGGAGCGTTAACAGTTGTCTGTTCGATTTTCATAAACAAATGCAGCACCGCCGGGCAAGCACCTAACTCTCATCCATTGTTTGATGCCCATATATCTCCATTTTAGGATACGACTTAGATGCACAACTTTCCAGAAAATCAAATAATTTCAATAGTTTAGTTGGCCGGAAAATGCTAGGGGGACCGACCCCCCAGCAAGCCGACGGAGGCATATTGACATTGTACCAATAGATTGTTTTTTTTTATTAAAAGTTAAATTTATTATTTAGTTCTTATTTTTACCAATTTAAACTCATTTTTATCTCT